CAAATTTCATTTGGGTGACTTTAGCCTTAAAAACTGTGATGGCAAGGGCCGACATGTTGGAATTGATATTGATGCTCTGAAGACACTTGTTAAATCTAACCCAAGGCAACATACTCATGAAATGGCCCTGAAATTGCATGTCTCTCATGAAAAAATACGTAAACATCTAAGGAATATGGGAAAGCTCGATAAAGAAGATGTTTGGGTGCCTCACGAACTCTCCGATGATCATTGTATGAACATTACTTTGTCTCTTGTTTATTTTACTGTCAAAGACTGAAGTAGAAATCCACTGAAAATAAAGCAACAAATCACTGCTTGTGTTACTAGACTGTTTACGTGACACCATAACATGATACTCTCGAGAGCAACAAAGTATGTGCAAAGAAATAAGTTGACATAACCCCTGCTTTGAGAACACAATGTGGAATTTATTACCATATGTATTCTACACTGTTTACAACAAGAATAATAAGATTGCACTTTGAATCTGTGAAAACTTTTATTACAGTATATGGTTCAGAGCCGATCCAATAAACCTCGCAAGCATTTGAATAATGGTCATCCTTCTGGGATGTTTGGAATTTAGTGGTATACAGTACAGGCATACAAAGATAACTGTCCACTTTATTGAGTGCCCGTATAGAGAACAAGACTAAAAACACTACCCTTAATCCAGAATATTGAGGTGCCCGTTTTTGTTAGATTTATTGTGGTTACAAATTGTAGGAAAATTAAAAAAGCTGAAAAGGTCTGTCCTTAATGGCACAGTGCCCATTAATTGATGATCTACTGTAGTGATGAATAAAGCTGATGATTATCATTCTTTAATATGGTATTAACTTGTAAAGGTCAAAGTCTTGGTCTTATCTCAGTATCTGTAACAAGTAATGATTATTATTTAATGTAACTCAATATTCTGGAAGTTTTACATTAAGTTAAAGCAGGAAAGTGTGTTATAATATAGTTTAAGTTTAATTATATATATATACGTTGAAATTTCATTTCCTCAAAGTTTCAAAAAATTATATTTGTAACAGTACTATTTGTCATAGATTTTCAATGTTGGACTCTGTATTGATTCCTGATAGAAATAGTATACTCATGACAATTTGAAGCTATAATGCGGTGAAGGAAACACATTTCATAAACAATGTGTGAGCTTTAAAAAAATATTTATTCGTTATCAAGTTTGGTATTTTTTTAAATGTAACACGATAGAGTATCCACTTGAGAAATAACTTCTGAATTCATGTATACTTCATTAGTGATTTCATTCTTGTAATTGCTTTTCATGAGTCAGTTGAGTAAGTATGTTTATATATAAATTATTTTCCCTGTTGTTAAAGTTCAGTGTTATACAATATATTTTCCTGTAACTGAGATTAAAGGTGGTTTCACAAGGTTTTTTAATTCATGTTTAATAAAAATATAACTTTTTATGTAATTATAGTCTTGGTCATATATTACAATTTGATTTTTAAAGATGTGAATCGTTCAGTCCATAGTGCACAGTAAATAAAAGTGAATACTTTGTATTTCCCGCAAAACTTTAATCTACAAACTTCACATGTTGATAGTTTGATCCCACACAAATCCCACCTCCCATTGTTTTTGCCCACTTGCAACATGGAAACAATCCAGTCTCAGGGGCTAAGGTTATTGCCACCATTCATCATCAAGATGGGCAAATGGATTCATTTGAGCTATTTGACTATGGCATAGGAGGTAAGTCTGAAAGTGATTCTATATCTGATGTGCTTATGTTGATTTTTAAATTTGTTAATCTTTCTGTAGAAAATGAGGTTAGGAATCAGTATCATTAACTTGTATTTAACAATGAACAAAAAATGACTGCCTAACAATAGAATTAAGTATAATGTTTACAAAATATAGTATAGACTTGTGCATTTCTGAATAAGTATCTTAACAGTAAGAAAAACTTAACTGCAACATAGTATAAAATACTCAAAATACAATATGCAACAGTTTTGTTTGATACTTCCTTATAATGTGGTGGTACTTGACTTTCAATATCCTCCTGTGAAGGTAATAAACACTGCAAGCTTAACTCTTTCACTGTGGCTGGGATGTATATTTCCCACTGCACGAGGATATATATGTCTCAGCTGCAGTGAATGGATTATATACATTGTTTAAATTCATATTCAGTACTACAAAGAAAGTATTTAAGGTTGTTGTTTTTCTCTGTCTAAATTATATTGACAAGAAAAGTATGTTGGTGTCAATGGTAATCCAAATGCTATAAAAATAGTTTATATTGGATGGGTACTCTTATGCTAATGAAAAATTATTTACAAAATGACCACCTGTTCTATGGTTTGTTTTATTGCATTACCAAAAAATATATTCTGGATGAAATAATTTGATGAATTTTCTACATATTATTTAGTCTTTTCCAGTAAAATCTTATTTTTGTTTTGCAGCTTCAACATTTCAATTATATTTCATTGTGTTAAGTTTTTAAAGAAACACTTAGAAATGCTTACCTTTGTTGAAGGTTTCAGTTATTGGTTTTTATATTTTCCTTCATTCTTTTAAAACTTTCCTATAAAACTTTGAAAAAACACCACATCCAGTTTCACTGTGTTTATGATCACTGGTGTACAATAAAAATACATTTATTACCATACCCACTTTATAAAGAAGACTTTTTTTTTAAATTGTTAATCAGAAGGTTTCATTTAATATATGCAATACTTTTTAAACCCATTCAATAATCTTTTTTCCTCTATATTTCTTCTCGGTGATTTTCTTTGCCCGTTTAAGAAGTTACTTAAACTGAGAAGGCCTAATGTAAATATGGCATAACAACAGTGACCTTGTGAACAAAATGATACTTGATATGGTTAACTTAGCTAAACTCATCTGATTCCAGGAGAAGCATTTATTTTTCTTTCCTACTACAACATCATAACTCAAATCAAATATAAAATGATAAAGCAAGCTTTAAAAAATAAATTAGCACAGTAATTGTGATGAGAGTTCTTCACAATCATCTTTTTTTCTAGCAACATATCACAAAGCTAAGATTTTATCAATTTATTCCAATCTAGATGCTGAACTGGAAGCCAAATTTCCTTACAGTTTTAAAGAATAAAAAAAAGAGCTTTCATTTTGTGTTTAAATCATTGGCTTTTGACTTCTTGATGCTTAGATATAAACAATTATATCATAACATGACAACTTAGGTTGAGAAACAGTGATTACCTAAAATCAATAAAATTAAACTTGGTTAAAAGATCGAAATTAGTGCTGTTCTGTTAAACACTATTTCAACTTTCCTTCTGGGGGCTCTGAGTTTGGTATTATGTTCAGAAGAAATTCAGGAAGTATTTTATTGTTTGTAATGTAATTAAGCACAAAGCTACACATTGGGCTATCTGTGCTCTGCCCACCACGGGTATCAAAACACAGATTCTAGCGCTGTAAGTTGTAAAAAATTTGAATTAAATAAATATAACTTTTTATTGAATGAATTTCAACTCTAAAATATTTTTAAAATGCTTTGAAGGATGACTACAAGATTATTGTCTGTAATCTTTCCCTTGGTGCAGGATGCACCCATCTAAATGGAATTGGTTTCATTAAACTATTTACAAACTACATAGTATTATTTTTCTTTGTATGTTATGTATTTGTATTGTTTGTTATTTTTATTTGTGTGTGTTTTTGTGCTACATCTTTATGGATAGAATAGTATTGTTAAAGCAGAATAGAAGCTAATATTTTTATCCTTGTAGATCCAGATATAACTAAAGGAGATGGGATCTATTCAAGATATCTTACAACAGTTACAACAGCTGGACACTATTGGTTAACTATATCTGCTAATGATAATAATGGAAGTGCAAAGGTTTTATATGGTGGCAATAGTAAATCAATGCCTAAAAATCCAAGTAAGTATTATTATTATTGCTTTTAAACCAGTATTTATTTTTTTTATAAAGTTATATGTATTAACAGCACAAATCAGAAACAAAATGAACTATATCATTAGGTTCTAAAAATAAAGGAAAATAATAAAACAATTACATGTAAAAGTAGCCAAAACTTTAACTAAATGACCTTCATTAAGTCATTTGAAATATATAACATAAATGATATATTTCTGTCATAGAATTAACAGTATCATAAAACAATTTATGATTTAGTACACAATTGTCCTGTAACTAGTTACACCATTATAGATGGTTCCATATGTTAAACAGTTTGAAATTAAAATATATTATATTGTTACGTCTCCGTTTGTTCGTTAATTAATTTTCCGTAAATTCGTTTCAACGAAACTTTAGTGACACAAGTCCTTTCTTAAATAAAACTGGTTTATTCTTTCCTAACACCACTTTACCGATACGCTTAATTTCAACAGTCGCTCTATAACAAATGCTATAATTCTCAAAGAACGTCTCACGTGCTCGTGCTCGACAATACTCAGTTCAATTACACATAGTTCCGTCACGTTGTGACTGTCTTATATATACCAGACTACCTCCAATATTGTAGTCTCCCGATAATTCACGAAGGTTCGAGAAGGACGTGGCGTGATACTAGTCACGTGACCTCGCTGACGCAACAATATTATTTAAGTTTACCTTAGACATTTTAAAGTGTAGCCTTTATAACTGTCTTTTATCCTTGTTGCAAACCTTATACAAGGTACAAGAATACTATTACACAGTTAGATGCATATGGCCTTGACTATTCTCCCATTGGCTCATATGGTTTGGTTAGTATTTATCCCCTTTAATGTATCTGCTTGTGAGAGTGATGTTTTGAAGGCTTTTTATAATAATCTATATAAATATGCTTTAGTTATAATTTAATAAAAATTATATGTATAATCATGCTTGTTTTTGTTGTGTTTTTAAACTTAAAATTAGTTTCGTATATTTTATGTTCCTTTGTGGAACATTCAAGCACATTTCACTGTTTTATGATGCACATTATAAAGCAGAACAGTGATATTAGCTGATGTATAGTTTTATATAGCAATGTGCTAACGTTAGGTAAATATATCCATTCTATAAAAAAAGATTAATGGTTGAAGCAACTTAACCTTTATATATATATATATGGTATGTTTATTTTATGTTTCAAATGCTACTACTTGTCTCACAAAATGGCTGCCGCTTATATGGCATGTATAAAACAACTGAAGATATATTTAGTGAAAGGAAATATAAATACATGCGTGTGTAATTTGAATCCGTGTGTGTGTGTGTGTGTTAATGTAACTTATATCTAGTACAATTAGGAGAAAAGTAAGGTGAATAATGTATGTAAAATAAAAAAAAGAACTAAACATAACTTACACAGGAGAAACAGTAAAATTATATCATATTTAACCTTTGTTTGCACGATTGTATCTCTCTGCTCGTACTATAACAAGCATATTGCAATAACCTGCAGTACATTGTGCCATATGAGGCAGTCAGAGTTACAGCAGATCATCAGTTTTGGCTCTTACAGTTTATATAATAAAACACATGGTATAGAACTAATAGTATAAAAACCCCATTAACAAACTAGTTACAATTGAACTTCTTAATTCTACTTTTTATATAAATACAATATTTCATTAGAGTACAGTATTCAAAAATGCAAGAAATATTGCTATCTTATTATTCAGATTTTGTATAATACACCTTCCCTAAAATATGGTAATATACTCTATTTGGCCTATAATGTTGTGGTTCATCCACATGAAACTGAAGTAACGGTTGAGCTATCTAAGATAGAAGATATTTATTCAAAATATAAACCACAAAATAAGGATAAACCTTTTATTAAATGTGTTGATGTAAAATGAGACAATGAAACAAAAACAAAGAAAAATACAAAAATGCACAAAAACACTAAACACAGTTTGTGCATCTTCTTTAGAAAAAGACAAACTTAGTTTTACTGGATACTCTTGGTGGCTTACTTTTCAAGATCCTGTTTCAGACTGTTTAATTGCAATGTTTCTTAGTTCAAAAATACCTCACATTTACCCAGAGTGACTAGTTCTACCCACAAAACCTTTAGATTTCACCAGAACCATGTTGTCAACATTCTTACACAATGTGCAGCATTGAATAGTATCCCCCCTGATGTCATTTCCAGAGAATAACAAAGAAACAAAGGCAGGTTATAAATTCATATACCATAATGTTAAGGTATTAAGCGTTAACCAATAATAATTTTTATATAGTCTAATCAGTCTGGTATGCATGTTACTTTAACTCATAAACAGAATATTGTTTTACAATAAAGAAGGTTGCTCTAGCGGTCAATGGGTTGCAGTACTACACAAAACAAACCCTTGGTAAACTATAACTAAGTCTGGCATTTTCCAATTCAGAGTTTTGGTAAATCCCCCTTCAGGTGATCCCCACAATCCTCTTACAAGAAAGAAGGACAGTTGCCACTAAGCCACATCAACTTCCCAAGTTTTTCATGTAGGTACTCTGACTCTATAATCTCCAACACAAACATGTAGGGGTCTCTCAAGTTACCTGAGTTTGGTATGACTTCAATAACATGTTGGTTACCATTTGTGGCCTTCCATATTGCTATGTAACCTTCAGTTAGCAACATTGATAAAAATTGTACCTCGGCTCCCGGGGAAACATCTACTACATGATAACAATGTAGCATCTAAGACAAGACAAACTTGTTTTTTACATCTCTATTTCACTATCTTATTTATTAACCTGTACTGCAAGTATATTATATACTTGTAACATATTTACATGACTGGTGTGAAGTAGTTTATAGAGGTGATAAATAAATAAACTTGGTAAAAGTATTAGCTGTGTTTCCAAACAATGCTACAATATAATAATGTTGATTACAGGTTAAAATGTTCATAAGAAACTAGCACTTTTCAATCTAAGTAATCTTAGGTGAATTTGAATCATGAAATAATCTTAGGCTACTTTTATAGTTGTTCAGTTGTCATTGTTTATTTGTTCGTGTGAAAATTGAATTTCAGTGTGTTCATTTTTATTTTTTTTCTCTCAGACCATCACCAATATTGTTGTGGAAGTTACATTTCGGAATACGGTGCTGCACCAACAGAAAAGTTCATGCGACAAGTGAATTATGGAAGTTTTTTTGTGACCAATGACAAAGTTAATAAAGACATTTACCCACCCAATAGAATTGTAGACTTCAGGGTAATGCAGGTAGACCAACAGAGTAAACAAGTGTTGTTAGTGTGGACTTCACCAGGAGATGACTATGATAAGGGACAAGGTACGTTTTTCAGTCTATAAGTTTTGGAAAATTCTGTAATGTATATTTTAACATATCAGTTTTGAAAAACATTGAGATCATTATGTCTTAATTATGCAGAAAGTAAATTTAACAGAAATCATTTTTAAACATCAATGTTATTGAAGTACTTTACTTAAGCTTGTCTGCATATATTAATTATATTTTATAATAAGTTGTGTGCGTGTGAATTGTGTTCAAAAACCAAACAAAATCAGAATAATTCCAGAAATCTTAATCCACTGTAAACTCACCATGAAAATAAGTTTTGATACATTATCAACTTTACTTGGTTTATGTATTTTAGTAGTAAGCCTACAATGGGTTCCTTTATAGAGACCTAATATTGTGATAAGTAAAGTTTTATAATACTGTAATATATTAATGTAACTAAGTAAAATTAATAGTCATATGAAAATAATAGTATATTCTAGGAAGAACAGTGAGAAAAGTGTGCTTTCATACAACTGAGTGTGTTATGAAAAAAATTTGAATCATTTAAATCTAAACTATGATCATCGAAAATGTATCCCACACATAAAAGTAAATCACACTGACGGTGGCTGGAGGTGCACTGACTACCTTTTTCAGAAATAAATATTGACACATTAAAATTGTTAATCAATGTAGAACCAAAATATACATTATTTGAGGAAGGAGGTTTTCAGGTTCTCTGTGGAGAACAGCAGAGTATCTAGGACAGTAGCAGGCTTAAAAAAACACACAAAGCCAATCTGGATCATCCACAAAGTGAATGTTCTAAAGAGAAGATTCCGACTTAAAAAACAAATGGAATAAAGTTTGGCATATTTTCTGATGCCATTATCAAGAAAATGTCTTCGGTATGAAATCTCATGAAAATAAATCATGTATTTATCTGGTTCATAAAACTTTAAAAAATAATTGTAGTTGTTGGACTTAAATGTCTTATAGCTAATAGAAATAACATCAGATGAATGTTTTCCAAAACTCATATGGAGGTTTCTGGATTATTATGTGAAACAGTAATTAACAATTCAGTTAAAGCTACTAAACAAGAACTTTAAATAAATAAATCAATATCCAAATACAAACACTATTATCCAAAAAAAGCAAAATTTTTAATGTCAAAATCATAAAAAAATGATAACAAGAATAACAAATCTGAAAAAAAAGAAGCAGTTTGTAATTAAGCACAAAGCTACACAATGGGCTATCTGTGCACTGCCCACTACGGGTATCGAAACCTGGATTCTAGCATTGTAAGTCCGCAGACATACCGCTGTGCTACTGGGAGGCAAAAAAAGAAGCAGAAGAAAGAAATCCAAATCTTAAGACTACTCACAATAACAATATAGACACTTGTTAAAGAAATAATGTTACATTATATATAACAGATCAAGTAAGTAATTACTTTCAATATTATATTTTAACAGTTTAAGTATTTTCTACATCACAGTTTCACAAATCTAACCTAACACCTCTCTCATCCTCGTCAGTCTGATATATAGTGTTAAGACTTTTTATTGTCTTGCCAGACAACAAGCTTACATGTCACATGTGTAACTACTTAACATTTGTTTTACTCGTGAATTTATTATACATATGTCATCACCAGGGAATCATTATGTTTGTGTCTTAATATAATATTTAATGTTCACTAGGAGACATGTAAGCGAGGGTTTAAAGCAAATAAAAATATAGCTGACCCAGTCGATAAAAGAAAAAATACATAAACAATAAACATAACTAAAAATAAAATAGAAATTGTTACCTCATACGCTGTTAGAGATTAGCTAAGAAAGAATTTGTAAATCAAATCTTCCTTACCCAAAATCCAAATCACAGTCTGGCTTCTCGACATAAAGCTGCATGTTTTTTAACTAGAACAGAAACTGATCAATTTATTCAAGAACATTCTTAAGTTAAACTAAGGAAATATATATTTTTTTTATGTTTAACTGTTGCTTGAAGTGCTAATGTTTCAACATAACCTTAACATTTACTGTGAGAACTGTGGACCTTTTATAAGCAGTTCAACTAGAATATTCTAGTGAAGATTAAATTAACATTGTAATGTAAGAATTATTCACCTTTTATGTGAGGGTTGGCTTAACAGCCAAAAAATCATTGACTAACAAACACTAAATGGTCGATAGATTTATGAAAACTCGGGTCCACCAACCAGAACTGAACTGCTGCTGGCCATCAACTTTGGCTATTTTAGTTTAATTCTAATGTTATTCATTGGCCCTTTGGTGGTTTAGTGGTGTGCGGTCTTATAGTGTAGCTTTGGGCTTAAACAACAGAAAACAAAGATACTTTCTGTCTACATTGCATAGATCATTACAATACGATGCTACTTATCTATTATAACTTCTCTAGTATTACTGGGAATATGAGATTCTTAATTCTTCTTTCAAGATTATCCAACAAATGTGATTTACTTGCATACAAAAAATATGTATGTTTGTTGAAATTTGTGCAAAGCTACAGAAGGAAAATCTGTGCTAGCCATTCCTGATTATAAAGTGATAAGACTAGAGAGAAAGCAGCTAATCAGCACAACTCACTGTTAAATCTTATACTACTCTTGTCAGACTGAATAGTGTGAGTTGACTGTTACTTTTATACCCATGGCCCCAAAATGCAGAGAATGGTTTGTTTTTGTTCTTTTGCATTAACATAATGCGAACCTCAGATCCACAGTCTGGCATGCTAATGACTCCATGCCCAGCTAAAATAAAACTCTGACAGTCTGTTAGTTTTCAAAACATCCCCCTATTTCTTTATGCCTTAGAGTTTTTATTACACTTAAAAACATAACCTTCCCAAACTGACCGCACAAGTAATATTAAATGGGTGCTGAAAATAATTGATTCCAGTTATTGAAATTATCGTGTTCAAAATTATACAAGTTTAGCCATTTTCAAACACTTGTTGTCTTATTGTAATATAGTTGTGAAGTTTGGTTATTTACAAAGTTTAAAATTTTCTGTTGAAATGCTTTAGATTAACTTAAGTGCATTTGTATTTAATCTGTTTTTGTTTTGTCTTTTTCAGCCACAAGCTATTTTATAAAATACTTTGATAAACGTGGAGATGTGTTCAATCGATTTAACGAAGATGTAGGTAAGATAGTAGATATCTGGAACATTAATGGCCCACCACTTGTACCAGAAATCTATGGAACAGAACAAAAAGTTCTGGTGGATCTACACAATAGTCATCAAGACAAAATCTTTTATTTTGGAATTCAAGGTGTAGATAAAGCTGGGAACAGGGGCACTGTATCTAATATAGTAGCCGTCTTCTTCAGCTCAAAACCAGTATCCCCTACTGTAAGTCATTCCATATCCTTGAACTCTACAGTGTCATCTTCAACACAAGACCCAGCTACTGACAAGAAACTTAAGATGAATAAAGGAGGACTGTCAACTGGTAACATAACATTAATTGTGAGCCTTATTGTACTATTGCTTATAATTATTCTAGTCCTCCTTGTCTTTTTGTGTAAGAGAAAAAGTAAAAATAAAAAACTTCGTAGTCAGTCAAGTAATAAACCTTCAAAGATTAAAAAGGATGCAGTTGATAATGTAGACAGTGGTTATGGTTTTGAAGAAGAAGGATGTGTAAAGGAAACATTACTTAGTCCTGTCAACCCTTCACCAGCTGATGTTGTGGTATAGAAGAAAGCTTTGTATGATATCATTGAACTACAAGACACTTTCAGATATCGAATTCAACCTGTGGAGAATGTTTATACATACTCAATTTCTGATAGACCAAATCTTATTTAAGCCTTTTTAGAGCAGTTTAGTGATGGTCAGTTGTTTAAAAAAGTCATGTCATTATCAATCATTGCTAAACAATAACATATGCTGGAGCTTGAGTGGGATAGTTATTCTGTGTGTGTATATATACAATTAATGTAGAGTACACCCTTAAAATTCTGGTATACACTGTCAACTACAAGACGTAACTATTGAAATTTATATCTGCAGGCATGATCTTGAGTAGTTCATTTGAAATTTAAAATGCAAATAAAAAATGTATCTAAGTTTTTTTTTGTGTGATTAATTTGAAAACTTCACCTTAATTTCAAAACTGAAATCTATAGTTAAATGACAAACAAAAGTCACAAGTGTACATTAAATAATAATCTGTATTCTCATAACTTTCAACATGCCTTGAATTTCCTTGGACATTGTGTACTTGTAATATTCACTTTTACAACCATATATCACTAGAGTTACTTAGTGAAGAAGAATTAGCATACATGAGAAAAAATGAGTGATACTTTTTGTAAAAAAAAAAAATTGGTTATACACTTCTAACTCCTTAAAGACGGGAATTTAAATTTCAGTTACAAAGTGCAATTAAATAAAAGAAATAGAACAAAGATTAGTGGCAGTTGTTTAATAATGAAAGTTAAGTACTGCTGTGTGTTGACCAAAATGTGAATTTTTCATTAACTTTTGTTTGTGTAACATTTATCCAAGAATTTATTGCTTTATTTTTAAGTTTTATGTATTTGTTTTTTTGTATATAAAACTTCTAAATTTCAAGATGTATTGTAGATTCTTGAAGTATATGACAATGGCTTATAAAAGAACAATAATTTAATTAAGAGTATTTCAATAAAACATAAATAAATATTTTTAAATATTGTACCAGTTAAGGTAACCTCGTGTTTTGTTTTTCACGTGTAGAGAATCCAACTAATTCAGTTTCTTTATCATAGTTTTGTTTTATTGTAGTGAATTAATTCTTTGAAGTATCAGGTCAAAATGTTTGAATGAGATTTTACACTTTTATTATTACTCTGAAACAAAAAACAGTGTATTTACAAAAATAGACAAAGAAAAAATAACAAAATATGCAAAATTTATTTATACAAAGTATAGTGTAGTAACCACACTTTAAATATATTAAATCTTGAGATTGAAAATTAATAAAAAAGATTGATCTAACGTGTGTTTTAATATGTTCTCTAATTGTACTGGATGTGTAGGACAAATTAAAGTTATGTATATTTATTATAAAAGAAACTTTACAAAAAGTTGAACAAACAGTCTCAAGTATTATCATAAGAATGAAAAAATACAGATCTTCACGGGTGAACAAATCCATATCTGATGTGAAACCACTTTAAAGTAGTTGCATAATAAAATTAAGTGGTAACATGTTAAGCTATAAAACTATAATTAGCTTAGCTGTAAACCTAAGCTGCAAGTAGATTTCATAGCTTATGTATTGGTCTTTTTTTTTCTCTCTGCCCCTTGATAGGTTCTTTATTGGTAAGAACTGTTGCTATAAGGGCTAGTGACATCTATCAGAAATAATATGTGGTTATTGACTTTATAGTCTTATTAACCAAGTTGAACTTGCATGTGATTGTAAATTGAACACACAGAATGCAGGTGTGGTAATTCAAAGATTAACATAACCCCTGATTCTTGTAATAACTAGATTGAAGACCTAGTATGTGGAAGGACAAATGTAGTGATTTGTTGTAGGTTTAGTGAAAGAGACAACACTTTGTGTGTAGGCATACAAACAGAAGAACTTAATACATACTGGTTGATTAGTGAGATGGGCTCTTGCTTTGTGATGGAGGGTAAAAATATACACTGTGTTTAATAGAATTAGAAGGTGAAGAAAATAAACTAAGTACACTAATAATGGAGATGAGCAACACACACTAAAGATGAAATATTGAAGACAAAACTTCACAAGGTTATCTTAATCCTTTTTAATTCAGAAACGAACAGACTTAAAGATTGTAAGTTCCATTTACAATTCAATTTCTCTGAAACTGACTAATCATAAAATTAGATCACAAAAATCTAGAAATATATTTGTTTCATGTGGCAGTCGAAGAGCAGTTACACACACATAAGGTAAAATATGAAATAATACAATCTATTCTTCTAAAAGTAGGTTATATCAGTGATGAAGCCCCCCAGTGGCACAGCGGTATGTCTGCGGACTTATAACGCTAGAAAGCGGGTTTTGATACCCGTGGTGGGCAGAGCACAGATAGCCCACTGTATAGCTTTGTGCTTAACTTCAAACAAACAATCAGTGATGAAAAACCTGCTACATAAAGTAACATTTAGCGCATGACCTCAACTAGATTTAAATTGTTTCAAATTAGACCTTAGAAAACATAGATGAGAAATATATGCTCTAGAAGAGGTAGATATGTATTACTTATATACCACACAGACTTTCTTTTATGTGTGGTGTGTTTATCTTCTTGTATGTAATTTGATCAGTGCTCTAACTTCTAAGAATACCACATCAAGTTAGTTGCAGTGAGAAAGTTGCTTAATAATCTCAATGTTTCCAGGAAGCTATAAAAATAGCTGTAATAAAGTCAACGATTAAAATAGCATAATAAATTAGTGAAAATGATCACATCGCAACTTCTATCACGCATTTCTAAAATCAAACGGGAAGTAATACTTCTTTGTTAGCTTTTTTTACTGCCCTATTTGTAACGTATTCAACACTATGAAACACAAATAAAGAGGATGTTAAAACGTTTAAGGCTCATTAAATATTTGGAAATTGTTTAAAAATATTACGACAAGCATCGATTACCATAAGTAGTACAGTAAACACTGTACTATATACACTACTGTGAGCATATTGTACTGTGTTTGTTAAGACTTTTTCCCCAGACAACTTACCTTATTGACAATTCTGTGTTCATATGATGTAATACTGCTCCATTACATCAGTATCCTGTGAGAAAAAGGATTATGAGCGCCGATTTTATGTAATTGGTGTTTAGTCCTTCCATGAAAGACGTTGATATACCATAAAGTCTACTTTATAACTTTTGTTTCAGGGTAGCGTGATAAAGAGTTCCATAGAAACCCTAATGAATTCTCACTCTAATATTATCATGCATAACTTAAAGCCAAATTCTGCTTTCTCGAAGTTCTCTGAAACTTATTCTTAATATGAGTTTGTCTAGTTTTTAGTCTGGGCAGCCAGTTAAGAATTGCCTAAACCTATTGGGTTATATATTTACAGAAACATCGTTTGACTTCAGGGATGTTTAATATGTTACTTACATACCAGTCTTTTATTATAAGAACGTGTTTAAAAGCTTTGAACAAAGCATTGGTAGATTCCGTTAAACATATGTATTGTAAAACCTCATACAATCATAACAATAACAACAATTAGCATTGGTAACTTATGTGCATATTTTTCTTGCCTCGAATGTTAAAAAATTAGTAAGTCAAGCAATTTTGACATTACTGACATAATGTGAAATTTTTGGTCGAAGATTATGGTTTGAACGAATTGGTAAATGAATATAATACGTGAAGTTTACGTTGCATATAGATGAATTTTCTAACAGTATAGAACACCCTGGAGATGGAACCAATCAGTTTTAAAGTCATTATAGATCAACTTGGTCACGTGATATTAATAACAGTAAATAAAATTATAGTAAATGCCACACTTTATGCTCCCCCCCCCCCAGTGGCACAGCGGTATATCTGCGGGCTTACAACGCTAGAAACCGGGTTTCGATACCCGTGGTTGGCAGAACACAGATAGCCCATTGTGTAGCTTTGTGCATAATTAAAAACAAGCCACACTTTACTTAACCAATAACGAGCTCCAGAGTTTCTTTGTATACTAAATAAATGTAATGTAACAACAGTAGTATTATATAAATTGTTAGCACACGTAACCTTTCATTATCACATTACTGAAGTGTTTGGGGTGAAGATTTTAAAGTATAGTAATTTGAAAAAGCTTTACCTAGACTTAAAAGTTTTAATGGCTAAGGGGTTAGGGCGCTCGATTCGCAATGTGCCGTGGGGGAGTTATAATGTGACGGCCAATCCCACTATTCGTTGGTAAAAGAGTTGGCGGTGGGTGATGATGACTAGCTGCCTTCCA